TAAAATAATTTTTTTTATTTTTTAATAACAAGATAAACATAAACATACATAACAAAATAAACATAAACATACCACAAAAAACATAAAAAGATCCTTCTTCATGAATTTACATACAGTGCATCGATTGGTTTACCACTTTTTTTTGTGCATCCATTTCCTAGTCACTAGTATAATTATATTACATAATAGCTCATATTATCAATCAATAATTGTATAACCTAATATCACTAAAAAAAAAAATCATTTATAATTTTGTTAATTCATATTTTAACGAGATAACTATAGTTTGCTTAATTTATTTTGCAATAAATCATAAGATCATACCAAATCTACCTTAATAATGTTTTATAAAGATAATATTAAGAAAAAAAAAATTTTTTTATGCTAAATCTGAATATTCTATCATTATGTTTTATTATCTAACCATTGATAAAAAAGATCCCAAACTTCATAAAATTGTTTATCTTCTTGTTCTCTGATTTCAAATGTCAATTTGCTCATTTCAGCACAATCCAATATTTTCTTAATAATTTCTTCTTCTGATGGAATTTTCTCCTTTGAGCAGCCCTGGCGCATGCGCCCTGGGCACAGGCTCCTCGGGGTCTTCTTCCTCACTGCTGCCAGCCTCCACAACCTCCGAAGGCAGCCTTCCACTTCCTGATGATCCTGGCCCCATCCCTGCATCACACGCGGGCTCCTCATCCGAGTCCTCGCTCTCCGAGACCTCACCTGTCTGCACCTGCTGCCAGTGAACCACAACAGGTAAACCTCCAAGTTCACTTAACATCTATGGCAAGAAAGGTCGTAAAATGGGGCAACACCCATTGAACACATGTCTCACTTAGCAACATAAATTTGGGGCTCAGTTGTGGTCATAAGCCATGGATATATGTGATTTGGACTGACATGATTTGCACCAAGGCAAATTCCTTGTGTGTCCAATCACACTCGGCCAATAAAATAATTCTAATTCTAATTTACTGAACCACTATTAAAAACTGTCAAAACATTTGCCCCAATAAGGGTGGGTGCCTTGACTTAACGACCGAAACTCAGGTCCCAATTGCGGTCGTAAGTCAAGGACTGCCCGTAATAAATGTGAAACACTTTCCAGGGGTGTCGTGCAAGGATCCAAGGGTATTGTCCTTAGCATAGATTCCTGGCTGCCTTGAGGCCATGGGGGCGGCCTCCAACCTCATGCTTTCTAGAGATACAATCAAGATCACAAGATAAGTGCTCGTACCGCTTTGTAAAATACAATAGTATAAATAGCTTTTCTGCCTGGAAGGCCAATTTACTATTAAGCAACGGTGTAAATCTCTCTGTATAAAAGCGAAATACCCCTCACGCATCATCGCAAAATCTCCAGAACCGTCAAGCCTACAAACTTGAAATGTGGCCCGTATGTTCCTCTTGGCTTCTAGGGGCTCCCTAAGAAAGGATTTTTCCAAATGTCCATCAGAGCATTAATATTTACTATATTATTATTAGTATTAACACGCTCTGATGCTAAGGAGTTCTACTCCCACTCCCCACCTGAAGAAAAGAAATCTCTTCCAAATGCAAAACACAAGCAGAGGAGTTTCAGTTTCAGAGCACCAAGCAGCTTTAGTCCAGAACAGTTGAGCTAAGCCATGCCCAGGCTCCTTGCTGTCTCCTTGCTCATGCAGCAAATACTGTTTCAGTTTCCAAACAGCCCTCAACTCACTCACTGACAGGACGCTAGCCAGATGAATACCATCATACTCCCTCCAAAACTGAGCCCGACCACATAGTTTCGTACCAGGATTTTTCCAAATGTCCATCAGAGCATTAATATTTACTATATTATTATTATTATTAACACACTCTGATGCTAAAGAGTTCTACACCCCCTCCCCACCTGAAAAGAAATCTGCTCCAAATGCAGAAACACCAGCAGAGGAGAGGCGTTTCAACTTCACTTTCACAGCACCAAGCAGCTTTAGTACAGAACAGTTGAGCTAAGCCCCGCCCAAGCTCCTTGCTGTCTCCTTGCTCACGCAGCAAATACTCTTTCAGTTTCCAAACAGCCCTCAACTCTCTCACACACTGACAGGACGCTAGCCAGATGAATACCCATGGATGATGGTAGGCAGGGGGAGAATTTCTCCCCCCTTATTTTCCTCCCCCAAAGTTAAGCCCCACCACATAGTTTTGTAGCGAAGCACCAGTATAGAGCTAGTTTAGAAATAAAAAGGCCTGGAGAATGGATGCAGCCCATGGGTTGCTTAAAACTGGCCCGTGGGGCCGGCCTGGAAATATCAAAGAACCGGCCTGGGATCCCTCTGCCAGCCAAAAATGGGCCACACACGGAGGCTTCCGTTATGTGGCCTCAACTAAGTGCTTGAACTGGATAGAAAACAAGCCACATTCGATGTTAAATACTGCAGTTTAATGTCGTATTTTACATACTGTAGGTGCATTTAATCCATAATCTATAATTTTGACAGCCCTTTCTATTTACTCTCCTGGGAATTTCCCTCTGCTAGTAAGATCTTGTATTATCATGTTATTTTGTATTTTTATTATTAGCTGCACCTGAAGGCCAGACAAGGAAGTTAGCACCCCCTGCCCCCCAGGAAAATGAAATAGTTTAGGATATATACTAAAAAGGCAGAATATCTTCCCTAAAAAGAGAAGTAGAAATTCACCTCAGAAGCAGAAACTCAGTCGCACCACCGCCGCCACCTTTGCTAATGGGCCATTACTGTGGCCTAGGCCAGCCTATTTTACATAACAAAGACCTACTCCAGGCAGAGCGACACTAGGAATTGGCCCAAGCTCTTTCGTTTGACATCGTCATCCAGCAAGGCTCCACCAAGCCGGGACAGCCTACGTGGCCCCATGGGAGCCCGAGAGCCGATCCGAATAC